CACCAATTCTCATAATTGTCAACTTTCAGAATTGGTAGTGTTGCTGGGTAGTTTGCATTCCCATAACTTGTCATCGTGAATTCTTCAATCGTTCTTGATTGACACTTCCCTTGAATCGTAATAAAGCTCTTGATACCAGATGTTGGAAACTCACCAAAGTCTATTATAAATTTATACCACAATGGCAATTTAATTATGAGACAAACAAAGAAAAGAAGACAAGACAAATAATTTCTACAGTGTTTCTCTCTGCTCACAAACTGTGAAAACTTTCTTATTCACTTTGCAACTGCAAAATACTGTGAATGACTTGCTTGACTTGCTTACAAAAAATAGGGGTTACTCCCTCTATTTATAACTGAACTTACACCCAAATCCCAAATCCCAAAATATCTATTTTGTTACTAAATCAAATCTAATCTATTCTAGACTTAAATCAAATCTATTTAAATCTAAAATAAATCAAATCTTTTCAACACATAGTTTTGACACACTGAATTACAATTTAACAATGAGGAGGCAAACACAAGAGTATCAAGAAGCAATGCGGATTGCAAATGAGCGGGTTCAAAGATTTGATCAATTTTTTGCTTCGCAAAATTCTGGTGGTGGATTTGGAGGAACTAGTGGATATGGATGAATTGTTGAGAAGAAGAACAAGGAGAAGAACAAGATGAACAAGAATAGAATCTTTAATTTTGAAAATTTAATATTTATTTTAATTTATATGAAAGAATTTATGTTAACTATTTTAAAGTTAAAAACTTTATTTTAATTTGCATGAAATTTTATTTCAATTTTTATTATATGATTGAATTTTATTCATTATATTTATTTTATTAATTTTATTAATTTTATTTGAATACATTTAATTAATACAATTATTATTACTGATTTTTATTTTATAAATATTAATTTTTTTATAAATATTTTTACAATTTTCCAGGAGATAAACTCCTGGGAAAATGGCCATGTCTGCAATTTGCCAGGGGCTTAACCTGTCGCAGAAGCAAAAGCATGTACATTTTGTCACGGGCTAAACCCCACACAAAAAGTCTGACACACTGCCCTCTATCATGCGCTTCTACGTCTACAGCATGCAGACTATATAATCCATGTTTCACTTAGCGAGGGGCATAACCCCTGGCAAATTTCACACGTGAAATACCCCTCGAAAACTTATTTACGACCCCCAGTTTTTTTAGGGGAGCAGTCCCCTTGCAAATTTTGCATTTGTGAGGGGTTTTTACCATTTGTGAGGGGTTAAACCCCTGGCAAATAAAGTTTTTTTGTAGTGATTTTTAAATGAATGATCTCAAGTTAATTGACTTAAAATCTCATGATTGTCATGAGTTCATGCAACAACTCTACCGGTGGCTATCCATGGTATCTTATCAAAAAATTTAAGAGTAACTATAGCAATATATATTGTGCTTATTATTTAATGGTATATGTCATAAAGTTCTTGATATTAAAAAATTAGATGAGTTAGAAGAATATGGTGCAATAATCTTGTGTCAATTGGAGATGTATTTTCCTTCATCATTTTTTATATATTATGGTTCACTTAATTGTTCATCTAGACTGAGAAATTAAATTTTTTGGTCCAGTTTATTTAAGGTGCATGTATCCAACAAAGTGATACCTGAAGATCTTTAAAGGATGTATGAAAAACCATCACCGACTGGAAGCTTGGATGGAGAAAGTTACATCATAGAAGAAGCTTTTGAATTATGTTCAATCTATTGTCAAAAGTAAAGTCTATAGGAATTTCAAAGTCTTGTCATGCTGATAGATATGGAGGTACATGTACTAAGGTTTTAAATATCATGTCAATTCCTTAGGATATAGTTCTTTAAGCACACTTGTATATATTGAATAATGATGAACTTCAACCTTACTTTATGATATATCAAGCAATAATATCCTCGAATAAGTGACAAGTGGTTGTTGAAAGTGCATAATAAGAATATCATAAGTTTGTTTAGTGAAAGGATTTCTAATCATGGTAGTGAACCCGATACTCTTAAATGGATGCATACATTCCTAAATTTAATGTAGTAATTTGGACCATATACAACATTACTAATTTTTCCGTAGTACAACACAAAATAGTGAGATTATGGTTGAGGCATAATCCATGTATTTCTCTAGTTCAAAAAATAAGAATCTTATATTGGCATCTAGAGCGTACTTTTGGGTAATTTATAAGATTTGAGAGATTGATTACGTTTTATTAAAAACGCCTTTATTGAAATGGAAGTGAATTGGCAATAACATTGATTTACATATTAATGAGTTAGGATTCACACGGATTGATATTGGCTAGAAAACTTATATGAGTGAACTAAAAGTGTTTCATGTGACTGGCACTTCTAAAAAAAGATGTTCATTTGTTCTCTAATGAAGACACATTCCTCATAGAGACTAAAATCATGATTTAAATTCTAATATTTCTTCGACACCTTCTTACACAACATAAGTTCATACTTCATATGAACAATTTGATAGAGATTATGTGCATGTTCTTTGTAATGACCAGGAGAAGGCATATGGAAAAATTAGCAAATAAATGTTTTTTATTGTTTATTCATGATTTATTATATGTTATAATTTATAAGGTTATATACTAACAAGTAAAACTATTTGACACCGCAGGTGTTTAAAGTCAAGACATCAAAAGACAATACACATAACTTCGTTGTAGATATTATTTGATGTAAGTATGTGTAAATTGTACGTTGTTTTTTCCCATTTTGATTTTGATGTAATACAATATTTGGTTCCTAATTATTTTCAACTTATGGGTGTGGTTTACCAATGATTTTTATTGTTGTTTTTGATCAATTTATAATTAACAAAAATACAGGTTAAAAAATGTGAGCTTTTTAAAATCTAAAAATTATATTAAATTTTTTTTTATTTCACTACAATAGGTTTTTTCAACCGTGATTATATGTAGTGTGCTATCCAAATTAACAAATAAAAAAAAATGATATTGTTGTTATCAAATCCATGAACTTTTAGTTTTTCAATACAATTTTGTTTATTACAACCTATGATTTTTTTATTACAACCATAGTGATATGTAGAACGCTTTTCAATTTATTACCATAAAATATAAAAGTATTTCTTTTAAATGAAAATGAATTCTTAATAGATTTCTTTTTAACTTGTGTACTTTTCATAACCGACATTCTAACCACATCTTTTATTTGAGCCCGTAATAGTTTAAAAGTTCTACCTATTTCTCTTAGGGTTGTGTAATTAAACTGTTTATAGAGGGTGTTATTTTGTTAATCGCGTCCATCAAATTTATTTTGTTTATTAATAGTTATATACAATATTTGTTATAAATTGAAGTAAAATATGTAATATAATTAGGAGTATTTTTGAAGAAAGATAATTAATATGTTTTAAAAGTTGAGAAGAATCTTATAAAAAGAAAAAAAAAACACTCTTGATAATCTTATAATTAAAAATGAAAGTAGTATAAATATTATAAAGGATAAAAAAGGTTATTTAAAGTTTTTTTTACCAAAATAACACTATTGTTTTTTTATTGATTTATTATAATATTAAAAGTATAATTTTGTAATGTCTCTATTCATTTCTTCTTCCAAAAACTTTTAAGAGTAGATTATGTAATTGTAACTCTTACTAGTCCTAACCAATTTATTTCTCCTTACCAATCACTCCCTCAACACACGCCTGGATTCAAATTTATCCAAAAGAAAAAGAAAAAAAAAATCACTTATAATGAAGTGTTTTTGATTATTTAATTCAAAATTTAATAAAATAAAAAATAAAAAATAAAATATATAATCATGTAATAATTTCATTTTTTGATTGTATCATAATTATGAATTAAAAAAATTAACAATATATAATCATGTAATAATTTCCTTTTTTGATCATATCATAATTATGAATTAAAAAAATTAACAATATATAATCATGTAATAATTTCCTTTTTTTTTATCATATCGTAATTATGAATTATTTATAAACTCATTCAATTTTAATATAATTGAATTCATAAAATCCTTATGAACTTAACAATCTTATGGCATCTTACAATTTATTTGATACATGCGAAAATGTTAATATGATAATTATTAATCTCTATTTTTTTTCAACTATCACTTTAAGGATTTATACATACTATATTTTATAATTCTATGCTTTTTTATATACTAGTTTTTTTATAAGAAATACAAAAAATATTTTAAAATAAATTGTACCTACATATTTTAAATTATTTCTATAAACTACAATAATTATTAATATTTTAAAATAAAATTAGATTACTATCGTTTATTTTCTTAAAGGTATGAGAAAGAGAGTAAGGAAAAAATAAATAATTCTTTTGAGTAACTAAATTTAAATATAATTATTATTTTTTTAATCAAATAAGATGTACCGTTGTTATATATTTGCACTCGACTGTAAGGAAAAATCCCGTAAAAACCTCTTTAAAAATTTGTATTATAAAATTTAAAAATTTAAAACTTATAACTAAAAACTTATATTTGACTTTAAAAAAAAATTTCAAATTATGAACTAGGTAAAAGTAGAAGACTAAAAATATTGTGTAAACCAACAAAAAAGTTCCATATGCATGGCTGTGGTTCAGTTTATCATCATTCTAATAATAATGTAACACATGTAGTTTTTAATATTTATTTTCATTTCATCTACAAATCTAAACAAATATTTAACAATAAATTGACATCTTAAATTAGGTTAATAAACAAGAAACACATGCTAAAGAAATAAATAGAAACACGTGCTAAAGAAATAAATAAAACGCTTATTTAATTATTCCTAGGCGTGCAAATAATAAACAACCGGTGGTAATAAAATAAAAATTCTATAACTACGGAAGAATAAGCCTATTTAGGCCCAACCCAAACCCAAAATATAACATTCTAGGGTTTAGAACGATTCAGTGAGAGAGAAAGGAAGCAAGAGCCAGTGAGCCAGTGAAATTTCTGAAGCCGAACAAAGCTGTGATCGTCCTTCAATATGCAGGGAAGAAAGCTCTTATAGTCAAGACCTTGACGACGGAACCCGTGCTTATGGTCATGAAAACCGCTAAGAAGTCTCGTGTGAAGGCGTTTGTGAAGCTTGTTGGAAGCTGTTTTAATTTTTCTTGGTTAATTGTTTAGTGTTCTTTTTCGAATTTGATTTTGGTTTTGTATTTGATATTTCATAATTTTATAAACTATTTGAGAATTTTATATCTGCTTTTGTATGACTTGTTAAGTTTGTTTATTTAATTGGTTTTGGCCATCTTGTGATAATTCTTCACCATTGATGTTCTTTGATTTTCTTTGTATATCGAGATTTTTTATTTGTGTTGTTTATTCATGTGACTTGTCATAATATTAGTAATTATGATTGAACTAAATAAAATTGTTTTGAGACTGTAGCAGGGTTTGATTAATTTTTTTTTTTAGACTTATGTTAACTTTGTTCATTTATCAATATTCTATTCTTTGATGATGGTATTTTAATAATTTGCTCAAAAAGTGATTTGTGTTTGGTCTCTTATTATTTGAAGAAGCATTTAAGTTGTTTTAGATTTTTAGGTTATAGGATAAGTAAATCAATTTTTTAAACATCTAGTTACATTAAACTTTGGTTTTTTAACAGACCAAATTTAACCTAATTCAACCTAACCTATTTTCATATTAATTATAATAGTATATTACTCGGTTTTTCACAAAATAATAATAATGATTATATTAAAATATGAATTTACGAAGAAACTTATAAATTATCTTTTAAAATATTTAATGTTTTAACATTTTTATTTTAAAAGTAACATATAATAAAAAAATTGCGATAGTAATTAAGTTTAATAAAAAATATTACTCCATCGATCCTAAATTAAAAAATACAATTATTTTTTTTGAAAAAGATAATCTATGTATAAAAAATTTATGCTATTTTACTTCAATAATTATACAAAAAAAAAACAAAAGTTTAACAAAATAAGAAAAAAGAAGAGAAATAAATAGTAAAATATATATAAAAAAATTATTTGTATTAAAATCGTAAAGTAATTTATAATTTATGGTGAATTTTCTTATAAAATGATTTATAAAAAAGTTATATTTTGAGAAGATAGAATATAATTTTATTTTAACTTGATAATATATTTGTCAAGTATGATGATGTACAAGTAATAATTTCTTGAAGAAAAATATATTTTTTATAATATTTTGTCTGAAAATCAAATTAATACGACTGAATATTAGCAAAATAGGATATTATTATTATTATTATTATTAAATGAAAACCAGGGCAAAATAGTAACTCTACTTAGTCTGACTTAAAGGAGGAATTAAATATTGAATGGATCAGAAATTTAAAATGAGCACATTATGGCGACATTGTAATGAAAGAATTGTTCATGGATCTGAAATCAAAACTATTCGTACTGGCTTCACGGAAACAGTGTGCGGAAAATGTTGTCATCATAGCAAGTACGTGTCCTCTTAGAGTTTTATATTAAAAAACAAATACAAAGAACTTATCGTGTTAGCAGTCTTATTAATTTTTTTTTGGAATAAAAAAATTTCTTAAAAGAGGAGTCATCCCACTTGGCGCCTACACTTTATTTTTAAGGGGAAGTGTTATCTCACTTGGCGCCTAGGTGTTAAAGGTTTGTCCTAAATCAAGTGAGATGGCGCTTTAGTGTAATTGTGAGGTAAATTTTTGCGTTTTTTATTTTAAATGTGGTGCGTTACATATTCGATATAGGATCAACAAAATTGACTTTTTATTTACAAAATATGATTACACACATAACAGATTAATCAGTGGTCCTCCAGAACCCAGTAATGACCCCCAATTCCGCATCCCCGTCCTCGCCTTTCCCGTGCTAGATTTCGTCGTGTTTCCTGTTGTGGCAGGGTCGATGGCCCAGCGAAGTCAATGCGTTCTGGATCCATGAAATTGGTTAGATCTCCATATCTAGAAGATCCGCTTTGATACAGTCGATTGTCCATACCCTCAAAGTTTGGTCGTGTTGGTGGTGGATGGGGTTCCATGGTTGGTCTGTAGCACTGATCGTCTGAGTACGAAGGTAGAAAGAAAATGGATCTTGGGGTGTTTGGTATTTAGGATGTTGGGTGTTTTGGTGATGTTGTGGTTGATGGTAAATTGGGTCGGTTGGTTCATAATCTTCAGACAATCCCAGATCAGGGCTAAGGTTGGAGGTTGAGGGGCCCATATTGGGATATGCAGAAGACTGAAATTGTGTGTGGGGTATGCAGGTGTGTTGATATTGTGATTGAAATTGTGGTTGGGTGTGAGACATATGGGAGTATTGGTACTGAGGTGGTGATTGTGGTTGGTTGTGGGGCATGTGGGTGTAATTGTATTGTGGTGGTGACTGTGGTTGGGTGTTTGTGGTTCTGTTTCGTCGTGTGGGTTGGTGGGAGGTTGATGTGTGTTGGGTTTGTTGTTGGGGAAATGAGGGTTGTGCCCATTGTGTTCGTGGGTCAACCAAATACCTTGGATGAGACACGTGCATTTCAGGGGTACTAACCAATCTGTACCAAGATAAATACTGATTCGTGTGTCGCATATTGCCATGGTTGAGGAAAACTGGGAATTGCAAGACATGTCGGTGACGCCTCTACCATATCTTACACCATTCTAGAGCAAAGTCTTTCCAGTTGGTAAGACCCCATTGGGCGTCGACCCTTTTGAGATACCACGGGGACAAGTAAGTTGGATCGCTGGGTATCTCTTGATGCATTCCAAACTGCATCTTGACACGGTCGCTGTGGTGCATCTCCACAATATTGAACCGTATGATTGCAGTCTTTGCGCTCCAAATTGTTGCATCCTCGGGGGTTGGTTCATGGTCCAAACCCAAATATGGTCTCCAGACAAACTGCATATAAAATTAAATCAGGTTAATAAAAACGTAATAAATAAATAATTTAAAAGTAGAAAAGTTGAAAGGTACGACGTACATCATCCGGGCCAAGGTAATCCAATAGATTGCGGTATAGTGCGACATTGAATCTTGGATTCTTGCCGTAATCCATACCCCTCACGCAATACCTAAAGGAATTGAAAAATATTTTATTTTTATCATATATTTGGTGAAGAGATGAATATTAATAAATGATATAACTTGATGACTTACTTTATTGCGTATGAGAAAACGAATGTGTTGTTGATGAAGGGGTTTAGGGACTCCATCCTCCACCAACCCCAAGCCTGGAGTAAAAATGTGCAGCCATAAAATGTACATTTTTCCTTGATTTCATTTTTACACAAGGAACTGTATAGATGGGCTAAAACAGCAGAATCCCAACTATACTTTCTAGTTTTTTCGAAGTCTCTAAGTAAATTTAAATACATAAAATTTACACCATTTCTCGTACTTTTGGGAAATAAAAAGGTTTCAAATAGTATCATTATATAATTTCTAGCTTCTATTACCTTAGCTAGCTCGGAGGAATTTTCGTTCAATTTCAGAGTCGCATAATATTTTTTAGCTCAGTAAGTAGTATACCCCGACCTCTCGCACCACCACCTTCAACCATATCCATGCCCAACAATTCTTCACACAGAGAATTGGGTTGTTAAACCGACCCGTTAACCGCCTTACCATCGAAAGGGAGACCCAATAACATGTACACGTCCTCTAGTGTGACGGTACATTCACCTATTGGTAGATGAAATGTATGGGTCTTTGGTCTCCACCTTTCCAACATTGCAAGTATGAACGTTGAATCAATTGTGAAGTTGGAGATCTTTATTACATTTCTGAAACCTGCGTAATCGAGATAGGGTACGATCAACGGGTCGGGAGCAAGATAGTTGTGTGATCGGATTCTGAATCTTTTAGTATCCTAAGTTAATAATGTAAAAGGTGTAAGAGTAGGTAAGATGAATAAATAATTACTAGAAGTATGAAAAATGTATAAGCATAAAATAAACTTACAAATACTGCAATGTTGTCCCTTGTGCCTCTGTGAGAATCACCCATTGTAAGAAGAGCCATTGTTGAAAATGTATGAGATTATGAAAGAGTTTGAAATTGTAAGAGATTATGAAAGAGTTTGTAGCAGAGAGTGAGACGATTGTGGATGCGAGAGAAGTATGTAAGGCTCTGTATTTATAGGCAAAATTTTATCATAGAGTAAGTGAGGGGGTAGGTGGGTACATGCATGTGTGATAAGTGTCACTCTTGCAGTGTAGGTGCAAGCTACGTGGCAGCATTGGGGAAGGCATCTCTGCATGCATGTAACACGATTGGACGTGAAGGGAGGCGCCATTGGACTTGGCGAAAGAGTACAAAAATGAAAGGTGTCTCCATCCCTGTTGGCGAATAAGAGGTGGCATGGATTGCAGTGTAGGTGTAGGCTAGGTGACAACCTTGGAGAAGGCATCTCTGAATGCATGTAAAACTATTGGACGTGATGGGAGGCACCTTAGAGGTTGCAGTGTAGATGTAGTGTAGGCGCAGGCTAGGTGACAGTCTTGGAGAAGGCATCTCTGAATGCATGTAACACTATTGGATGTGATGGGAGTCGCCTTAGAGGTTGCAGTGTAGGTGCAGTGTAGGCGCATGCTAGGTGACAGTCTTGGAGAAGGAATCTCTGCATGCATGTAACACGATTGAACGTGAAGGGAGGCGCCATTGGACTTGGCGAAAGAGTACAAAAATGAAAGGTGTCGCCATCCCTGTTGGCGAATAAGAGGTGGCATGGGTTGCAGTGTAGGTGCAGGCTAGGTGACAGCCTTGGAGAAGGCATCTCTGAATGCATGTAACACTATTAGACGTGATGGGAGGCGCCTTAGAGGTTGCAGTGTAGGTGCAGTGTAGGCGCAGGCTAAGTGACAACCTTGGAGAAGGCATATCTGCATGCATGTAACACTATTGGACGTGAAGGGAGGCGTCATTGGACTTGGCGAAAGAGTACAAAAATGAAAGGTGTCGCCATCCCTGTTGGTGAATAAGAGGTGGCATGGGTTACAGTATAGGTGCAGGCTAGGTGACAACCTTGGAGAAGGCATCTCTGAATGCATGTAACACTATTGGACGTGATGGGAGGCGCCTTAGAGGTTATTGTTGGTTTATTCAAATTCAGTACAACCTATTTAATCTTACATTTATCAAAACACTCATACACTTAAT